GGGGGGGGGGGGGGGGGCGGCTCCCTCCTGAAAGTTTTCCTTCATTCTCAGAGACTGAAAGTTTGAACAAATAAAGTCTGACCTGTTGTTGAAAGTTAATACTTTTTATTTTTATTTCAGCATTGATCAGTTTGGTTATTGTTTAATATTTTGGTTCCCAAAAACTTCTAATTTCTTCAAAACATTCTGTCAGTTTATTGAAACAAAACAAGAGAAAATAAAAACAAAATACTGTTTTTTGTTTTATTTAGTATTTGAAAAAGATGAAATTTTCAGAAGTTAGAGACTGATTCTGACTGTGGTTCTGAACTGAAGACCCAAAGAGGAAAATACAGAGTCCTGGTTCTCACCATCCGGCCCCCGGTGTGTCTCTGCTGCTGCTGGTTGTGGTGGTCGAACATGGCCGAGTCCAGTGACAGCCCCCTCCTGGACCAGTACTTGCTAGAGAACATCATCATTGCTGGCTGCATGCGCGGTATTGGTTCCGGTCCGCCTTCCTTCATCACGTGGGCCGAAGCCATGGGGAACCAGTGGGTGTAAGAATACCAGGGCTCCAGGGTGACGCTTTCCTGCTGCCGCTGCTGAGGGTCCAAAACCCGGTCCGGATCCATTTAAATACTGATAGAAGAGGGGAGAGGGGTGCATCTCCCACTGAGGGAGAGGATGCTCTATCCAATGGAGGGAGGCTCCACCCACATGTTGAGGGACCAGAGGCTCCACCTACCAATGGGACCACACCCACTGGACCAAGCTAAATGGAGGAAAGGCTCCGCCCACTTCGGCTTCATTAAAACAGGAGGAGCGACACACTGACTGTTGTTCATACAGGAATAATCTGAATCAGAACCATGTGGATAATTCTACAGGTGGTGGTCTTGGAGCTCCAGAACTCACTTCAAGACCCCACCTTCTGTGGATCATGTGGCTCCGTACATTAGATCAATAATCAGCATCTCTACCCTTGATGTCAAACATCTGACATTAGACCACGAGCTGTGAGTAAGATGACATCATTACGGTGAGCCAATCAAACATCAGCCTGACTGCTGCTGAATGTTCTGCAGAAGAGGAACATCCTACAGGAATAGAACTGTGGGAGTAGATGGACCTATTGGAAGATAGTGCTTTCCTACCAGAGAACATTCTAAAGGAGAACATCCTGAGTGAATGAGTCCTCGAGGCTCAGTGAGACTAACCTGTATAAATAAAGGTTGAATCCTAAAGGAGAACGTCCTGAAAGAGAACGTCTTAAAGGAGAACAATCTACAGGAGAACATTCTGACTCCAGGCCTTCTGAATGTCTTCTCTTTTTTTCTGTACCTAAACATTTTCAGAGAAATCTTTTGAACTTTGACCTCCTGCAGACAGAAAAAGGCTCCTAAACTCAAAACAAAATTTAGGGTTTTGCCGACACATAAGTTAAAGAACCCAATTCTAATTGGATCTATGGGCTCTTTATGTCACAAAGACAAAATTTGTTTCCATTTTGTTAAATTCATTAAAACAAGCTTGAAAAACTAAAGACAGGACTTTAAGGTTCTTCAGCAGATCACCAGGATCTGCAGAGAATGCTTTGAAGAAGCAGGACCTCCTCGAACCTCAGCAGGTTTAACACAGAAACAAACTAAACAAAGAACAGAACAAAAACATCAAAAGAACTCTGAAACGTTCTTTAAGGAACCTGCAGAATTCCTGACATGAACTTTTTTTTATGAGTTCAGACTAAAAATTTAACTTGCAGCTCATTAGAAACCAACATTTATTCTGGATTTTCACCGTTTATATATTTTATAAATTACATTTATTTTTCCTATGCTGTGAATAACAAAAGGAACCGAGGGTTTTAAGTACAGGTTTGGACCCCCGCCTCCCCCTTTCTCCTGATGTTCTCCTGACAGTGAGGAGGAGCAGCAGCTTCTGCAATAAAACCCTGAGGAGGCCGATAAGCAGCTGCAGATATCGGCTCCAATTTCCTGCTGAAGAGGAAATGAAAGAGGCATCTGCAGTGGACCCGCTTTGTTCTGGTTCTGAAGAAGCTTTATGAGCAGATGGCAGGTGATAACGACGTCTAGCCCGACTCCTGATGAGACGTCCATCACTTCCATGAAAGCAGCTGACATTTCAGCTGTGACATTTCAGCAAAGATTAAACGGAAACCAGTTTCACGTTAATGTGAATGGAGCCGAAACTGGAGTCCAGTTTTCAACATAACTCCGCATTGGGCCAAGGTCCAAACAAAGGAGAGGCAGTCAGAAGTTTACGTCCACTCGTCTTGACAGTCAGATTGCGTTTGAGTCTTTTCACAATATTCATGATACCGTCTTTTTTCCAGCAAACAGTTTCAATTTTTATTTATTCTGGATTTTCTCTGATCAGCACAGGGTCAGAATTATACATATGGGCTCAAATATAGCCACGTTCACCTCAATTTGTTACTAAGAGGTGCTGAATGTTCTAGGTCTTTAACATGGGTTTGTTCACTTCCTGTTAGTGATCATGATGGACTGCAGTTTCACTTTGCTGGCATAAAAAGGATTTGTTTGACAGGACTCATTAGTCTGACCAATGCTTTGTTCCCCTCAGATGGAAGGAACCAGCACGGCTCAAGCCTGTCATGAACTGGAACTTGCAGGAACACCAGAACTCTTGTCCACCAGCGAGGTCAGGTTTACCATACCATTTTATTTATAGAGCACTTTAAACAGCGACAACGCCAACCAAAGTGCTATACAAACAGAAACAAACAGGTACAGCACACAGCAACATACAACATAACGAAAAATCAAAATATAGAAACAAAAACATAGCGGATAGTAACATAATGATTAGCACAGTGTGATGCATACATATTCAGCAACAGTTCATACATTGTTGAAAGCCAGGGAATAGTAGTAGGTTTTTAAGCGGGATTTTAAAACTGTGGCCTGCCTGACAAGCAGAGGTAACTCATACCATAGTCTAGGGCCTGCAATAGAGAAGGCCCTGTCACCTGTGAGCTTAAGACGGGTTACAGGAACTGAAAGAAGCAACTGGTCCGCAGACCTCAGAGAACGCGGGGGACATACGGCTGCAGCAGATCAGCGAGATAGAAGGGGGCAGAACTGTTCAGTGATTGAAAAACATACAGAAGGATTTTGAACTGGATTCGAAGGTGAACCGGTAGCCAGTGCAGGGAGGCCAAAACTGGTGTAATGTGCTCTCTTTTGCCTGTACTGGTTAAAAATAGGGCTGCAGCATTTTGGACCAGTTGTAGTCTGGTAATGGAGGTCTGACTGATACCAAACAGGAGCGAGTTGCAGTAATCGAGTCTGGATGTAATGAATGCATGTATTACTGTCTCCAGGTTATTTTTGGACAATATGGGCTTCAGCTTAGACAGACGCCTCAGCTGGAAAAACAGGATTTAACAATCATGGTTTACATGACTGTTAAGTTTCAAGGAAGGGTCCATTATCACTCCCAGATTAGTGACTGTTTCTCTAACGGGGCTAGAGCAGAAAGGTCAATGCAGTGGTTGACGATCGTGTCATTGGGAGGGAACAACATGACTTCAGATTTCTTCTCATTGAAACTTAAGAAATTTAAAGCCATCCAGTCTCTGATGTCAGCCAGGCAGTCAAGCAGAGGTTGAATAGAGCGTGTACCATTGTGTCTTAGGGGGAAGTAGATTTGACAGTCATTGGCATAGTGGTGAAAGGGTATGTTGTGTTTCCAGAAAATAGCACCAAGCGGCAGCAGGTATAAAGAGAATAAAAGGGGACCCAGGATGGACCCCTGCGGAACCCCCCATTTAAGCTCTGCCGCTGCAGAACTAAACTCCTTGATAGAGACACAAAAGGATGTCAGCGAGGTAAGATCTGAACCAACTGAGGGCTGACCCTGTGATGCCCACCCACTGCTCCAACCTAGCAATGAGGATCTCATGGTCGATGGTGTCAAAGGCGGCTGTGAGGTCCAACAGGACAAGCAGCACAGAATCACATGTATCTGTGGTTAAGAAAATGTCATTAAAGACCTTCAGCAGGGCAGTTTCAGTGCTGTGGAGAGGTTTAAAGCCAGATTGAAATAGCTCTAAGATGGCGTGGCCCTCCAGGAAGCACTTCAACTGGGACTCGACTATTTTCTCCAGGAGTTTAGAAACAAATGGGAGTCTGGAGACAGGCCGGAAGTTGGATACGACTGAAGGGTCAAGGTTTTTTTTTTTTTTCAGGAGAGGCTGGACAGCAGCATGTTTAAAGGATTTTGGCATGCCAGTGGATAAACTACTGTTTACTATGGCAAGAATGGACGGACCTAGAGTAGGTAAACCCTAATTCCGTCAAGGCGCTGGACTTACCAGGAGACATCCAAGTCTCTGTGACGCAGAGAAAATCCAAATCGTGCTCTTGAAAGTAGTCCCTGAGGATAAAGGTTTTGTTGGTAACAGATCTTGCGTTAACCACACACATCCTGATACCGTCCAGAGTAGACCCGGCAGCGGCGGAGGGGGCGCGCACCAGCAGCCACAGATTTTGAACAATAGCCGCTCCAGGTCGGCTCATGCACAGCGCCGGCAGACAACTCCTGTTGTTTACCTGGTCCAGGCACGTGGGTAGCTGGCAATGGAAACAATGACCATCAGCTGGAGAGGAAGATGCAGCACGCAGGGCTTTAAGCTTCACCAGCCGGCCAGCGCATTTTCCCCAGCGTCTGGAGCGATATCTCCAGGCAGGTGAGGAGCGCAGCGTAAATAAACAGGCACGTCTGCCAGTGGTGGGGGAAAGGGGGGGGGGTCCAGCGTTACGCTCATATTGATCCAATTAAGCGACATCGGCGGCAGAAAATTGAAGATCCAGAAGCTGTTGTCGATTTTATGACTGTGGACTAGGAGGACCAAGAAAGAAGCTCCAAAACCTTCAAGGTGAACTGAAACCTGCAGCTGCCCACTTGGACAAAACAAATGTCTTCTGGAAAAAAGTTTGATGGTCTGACGAGACAAAAAAAATGGGCTAGGAGAAGGTATGGATGAGTCACGGTGGAGCTTTCATACTGAAGAACATTGTTTCAGCTGTCAGGCATGGTGGTGGCAGCATTATGCTGTGGGCAAAAAGAAAGAGGACTACTTCCAAATTCTTCAACTTCACCTCAGCCAACTGCTGGACGGTTGAAACTTGGACTGCTGTGTCAAATGGGACAAAGATCCCAAATATCAGAACTGGTTCCTGATTGGATGAATAACGTTAACGTAAAGCTTCTGGGATGGTCTTCCAAAAACCTCAACCTGTTTGAAAACCTGTGGACTAAAGAAGAAGGAGAAGCAGAAGAAGCAGCAGAACAAGAAGCAGAAGAACAAGAAGAAGAACAGGTCTCTTTTGTAAATGAGTCCTCGAGGCTCAATGAGACTAATGTGTATAAATAAAGGTTGAATGAATGAAAAAAGAAGAAAAACAAAAACAACAAGAACAAAAAAAACGAACCTTGTTGATTGAGACAAAAAGCCTGGCGATTAAGAAGACACCTGCTGAGGGACGTCTAACCAAGCATCAGTGGGTGTATGCATATGAACCTGTGTAGCTCAATAAAGTCAAACTTGTTTGTAAAAACTTTAAGTTGTTTGTCATTTATTTACTCCACCCTGAAAAAAAACAAACGGTTCAAGTAAATCAAACGTTCGTACCTCTGACAGAAAGGAGCGTCTGAGCTGCCTGTCACGTCTACTCCGATCATCCTGAAACACCGTTCTTCATCACCTCAGGCAGCAGAGATCCGTCCAGTCAGGTCTGAACCAAGGTTCTTCCTGAATGACTGACCAGTGATCGGGTTTCTGATCGATCAGAGACAGAAGCACCCGTAACGTCTCATTTCGACCCCCAAAACAGGACGAGAAGCTTCATTGGCAGCGTTTTAATGAAAGTAGCACAATCTGTACAAACTTAGAGGTTTAAGGACGTCACTTTGGCCTTTTTACATTTTAATGGTAAAAAAAAAAATCAACAAGATAATCAGCTGATTGATGATAGAAATATTGATCAGCTGCAGCAGAAATGTGTGAGCTGCCGCCTGCAGGAAGAAAACCGAAAATCGGACTTTCAAGCAGATTCTGAACTGCAGCTCTGATTGGCAGAAAACGAGATGGTAAGACTAGGTGAGCTCTACATCAGTTCCGGTTTGTCCAGGTGAGCTCTACATCACTTCCTGTTTGTCCAGATGAGCTCTACATCACTTCCTGTTTGTCCAGATGAGCTCTACATCACTTCCTGTTTGACCTGCAGTTCATGGCTTTAGAAAACATCAGGATAAAGTTATAAGAAGTTAGAAAAATAAGAATTTCAATATTTTTTCGTCATTTTTACACCCGCCTCTTCCTCCTGCTCGGTCGTCAGGGCAATGCTACCCCACCCACCCCCACCCACAGGACCCGGCGGGTCACTACGATGTGAATTCTGCTCTACAGCCATTCTGAGGTGTGTTTTCTCTGCAGAGTCCATTGGAGCAGATACCCTGCCGCTGAGCGGGACGAAGAGTTGCAGCCGATCCAGGATCCGTTGTGCTGGAACCATAGCACTCGGTGCTCAAACTCAGGATGGTGCTGACGGAGCGAGGCAAGTCCTGCAGAGAAGAACAGAGTCAAAAACTAGGTCTTCAAACGTAATGGATCAGCCATGTGATAATTTCAGTGAACACACTTTGCAGCTTCTGATCTGCAGGAAGATGCCTTCAGCTTTCTGCAGAATCTCCTCGATGTCGAGTTTCATGGAGAGCTCGTTGATGTGCTGAAACACAGTCACCCAGACAATAAAACGGGTCAGATGGACCTGGTTCTGAGGACTAGACTGAAACCATGTTTAGATAGTCAGGAGGACTTCCTGTTTGATGGACAATAAGATGCCAGATTATCAAAGAACAAACGTGAAATTTAGAAATTATTCATCCTAAATATCAGAAACTGGGTCACTCTGGGTCAGAGGTCATTCAGAGACCGGGTCACTCTGGGTCAGAGGTCATTCAGAGACCGGGTCACTCTGGATCAGAGGTCATTCAGAGACCGAGTCACTCTGGGTCAGAGGTCATTCAGAGACCGAGTCATTCTGGGTCAGAGGT